TGTGTGTGTGTGTGTGTGTGTGTGTGTGTGTGTATATATATATATATATATATATATATATATATATATATATATATATATATATATATAGAGAGATAAGGAGATCGTGTTCGTTTTCCAATCCGCCGCTATCGTTTATCGTTTTTACTGTTTCCCCGATCACTATTTTTCCTCGCAAGGGGAACTTGACTCGATGACATTCGATCCAATCAAAGAGAAGATTAGACCATTTGAATGTGACAACGTGAATTCTCGTCAAAAAATCTCGCCCAAGCGTGACTTGAGCGCGGCGGAAGTTGGGTTATCGGCGGATTACAGTCGACCGCATTTGAAATGTCAAGGCAGGGGCGAAATGCTAATGAAATGTGGAGAAGGGTTGGTGGGGGGAAATCGAAGAGGAGGTTGGAGATAGAAAAAGAAAAAGAAAGAAAAGATGGAGGCGAAAAAGAAGTCCCATGAAAAAGATTGGGAAATGAAGGGGAAACAAAAAATAAAGAAAAAAAATTATAATGCCTGAAAAGGAAATCAAGATAAAATGAAATGAAAAAAGAAATTGTGAGATGTTATGGAAGAATCGGAAAGGAAGGGCCAAAAAAAAAAAAAAAAATAGAAAAAAATAGATGAAAAAGACAGAAAGAAATGGAAAGCGAGGGGTAAAAAGAAAGACAAAAAAGGAAGTAAAGTAAGATTGAAAAAAAAGAAAAGAAAAAAAGAATGCGAGACGAAAGATAAAAAAAAACATGGATGAATTAGAAAAATGAGGAAGTGAAGAATAAAGAAGTTGATTTACAGATAAATAAAAGCAGAATATTGAAAGGAAAAAAAGTAAGAATTAATGACTAAATAGAAAGAAGAAGAAATAGCCCAAAGCGGCACTGGACTCTCGTGAGAGAAAATGTGAGAAAAGGGGGGTTATAAAAAGCCGAGAAGAAGAAGAAGAAGAAGAAGAAGAAGAAGAAGAAGAAGAAGAAGAAGAAAATAATGTTAGAAGAGTAAGAGAAAAAGAATCTCGTAACATGAAAAATGCCCGATAGGAAAAAGGAGAGTAATAAAAGGCAGAGAAGAAGAAGAAGAAGAAGAGGCGGAGGAGGAGGAGGAGGAGAGGTAAAAGAATGAAGAAGGAGGGGGAAGAGGAGATGAAGAAGAAAGAGAAGTAGGAAGAGAGGAGGAGAAGAAAAAAGGGAGACGGAGAAACAGAGGAGGAGGAAGAAGAGGAGAGGTAAAAGAACGAAGAAGGAGAAGAAGAAGAAAAAATGGCGTAAATCACCATTTGAAGAGAAAGAAAAAAGAATCTAGTAACATAGAAAATGTGAGATAGAAAAAGGAGATTAATAAAAGGCAAAGAAAAAGAAAGAGAAGAAGAAGGAGGAGGAGGAAGGAGGAGGAGGAAGAAGAAGAAGCAGGAGGAGGAGGAAGAAGGAAAGAAGAAGAAGAAAAAGAGGAAGAAGAAGAGGTGTAAAATAATGTTAGAAGAGTAAGAGAAAAAGAATCTCGTAACATGAAAAATGCCTGATAGGAAAAAGGAGAGTAATAAAAGGCAGAGAAGAAGAAGAAGAAGAAGAAGAAGAAGAAGAAGAAGAAGAAGAGGAGGAGAGGTAAAAGAATGAAGAAGGAGGGGGAAGAGGAGGAGAGGAAGAAGCAAGAGAAGAAGGAAGAGAGGAGGAGAAGAAAAAAGGGAGACGGAGAAACAGAGGAGGAGGAAGAAGAGGCGAGGTAAAAGAACGAAGAAGAAGAAGAAGAAGAAGAAGAAGAAAAATGGCGTAAATCACGAAGAAGAGAAAGAAAAAAAGAATCTAGTAACATAGAAAATGTGAGATAGAAAAAGGAGAGTAATAAAAGGCAAAGAAAAAGAAGGAGAAGAAGAAGGAGGTGGAGGAAGAAGAAGAAGCAGGATGAAGAAGAAGGAGGAGGAGGATGAAGAAGAAGAAGGAAGAAAAAGAAGAAGAAGAAGGAGGAGGAGGAGGAGGGGAAGAAAGAAGAAGAAGAAGTAGGAGGAGGAGAAGAAAGAAGACGAAGAGGGAGGAGAAGGAGGAGGAGAAGAAAGAAGAAGAAGAAGAAGAAGATGAGGTAAAAAATAACGTTAGAAGAGAAAAAGAAGAAGAAAAATGAAGAAGAAGTAAAAAATAGCGTTAAAAAGACAAAAAGAAAGAATCCCGTAACATGGAAAATGTCTGATTGGAAAAAACAGTAATAAAAGGCATTGAAGAAGAAGAAGAAGAAGAAGAAGAAGAAGAAGAAGAAGACAACGACGACCATATCTACGTTGTTGCATGTCTCTAAGCTTCGAAGCTCAGGCGAGCCGAACGCTTCGATGCCGATATGACTACTGGAATTAAATACGAAAGACGTGGGCAACTCTTTTCAAATAGAATAAATGAATATCTCTCATCAGCTAGAATCATAATCCCCCCTTCAATGACATTTGACCGAGTCTACCATTGGCCTAAATAGTTCTTATTCACAAAACCCGTCGATACGTACACATCCACACCAGAAACTAGTTAATATGTGAATGCATTGAACTACGCTTGTCCTGGGTCGAGATCTGCTGGTTGTGGGTTCATATTTAGAGTTAAACATTTATTCATCAACTCTGCTCCGTTTGATGCATACACACGAACAGGGCTGTAAATTCTTTTATCAAGGAATCAAAATTTGAGAGCGTTAATAACAATTACTGACAGAAAAATGCAAAAAGCAGATGTAAAAAAAACAAAAAAAAACAAAAAAACGCTAGCTGGATGGGTAACTGAAAAAAAAGACAATATTTCAATCAGTTTAAATGATGTCTATAACTTGTGACCTTGTGAAAGACTATTACAGAGGTGGCGAAACTTGCTTAATGCAAAAGCCACACACGATAAAGTTCTGTTGTTTGAGAGCAGCAAGATATGAACAAAGTTTACGCATATGTTTTTAAGACATTTTTATGTTTATACATTCTTTTTTTATAGATACAAATATTTAAGTAAATGCTCTGTTTATAATAAACAATATTAATAACATTTACCGGCTAGAATGTCCGGGAAATTCTCATAGAAAATATGCGTCCTCCAACAGGATTCGAACCTGTATCCTATACGGAACCGTCATTTAGCTTGACGTGCATTTAACCGATTTGACCACAGAGGAGCGTTTCGGTTAGCAAGGTCAATTTTACTGTTTATAAACTATAATTGTCCATGATTTTCTCACGTATATTTATATCTGCTCGATGCGTATCCAAATGTAAACAAATGACGTCACACATTATGAAAATGGACAAAGTCCGACAATTATTTGAAGACATTTTTATGTTTATACATTCTTTTTTTTATATATACAAATATTTAAGTAAATGCTCTGTTTATAATAAACAGTATTAACAACATTTACCGTCTTGAATGTCCGGGAAATTCTCATAGAAAATATGCATCCTCCGACAGGAATCGAACCTGTATCCTATACAGAACCGTCATATAGCCTGACGTGCTCTTACCGATTGAGCCACAGAATAGTGTTTTGGTTAGCAAGGTCGATTTTATTGTTTTTAAACTAAAATTCTCCATGATGGGTTAATTAATAAAACCTGTTTCTTTATACGATTATTGCTTCAAAAATATTTTCTGGCTTTAAATAACCTGCAAACGGTTGATATTCCGTAAAAAACAAATAACTCGATAGTTCCAATTTTTGAATGCCACGTGTAAATTTCGTTTCTCTACTCATAATTTTGGTGGTGTTGAATTCGATACGATCTAGTTTATTGCCTGCATTAATTGGTATTTAAAGAGTTAAAATAGGTTTTGGCATTTTTATAACTTTTCTTGCTTAATTTCTATTGAATAATCTTTCCGTTTAAGATGTAAATTTAATAAACAAGATGCAAAAGCAATAAGCCGTCAGTTCTAATGAAGCAGTAAAGGAAAAGCAATTTGATTATTTTGACGGTGTAAAACATATTAATATCTTGCGGACTTTCCCTTTGATGATTGCATGGAAAAACGCTCGTATCGCCGGGAAGACGATGAAAAGACAGAGACTTCGTGAGAGAAAGAAAGAAAGAAAGAAAGAAAGAAACAAAATAAGAAAAAAGAAAGAAAGAAAGAATTCATGATAAGAAGAAAGAGTGTCAGTGACAGAAAGAAATAAAGAAAGAAAGAAAGAAAGAAGGAAAGAAACAAAGAAACAAAGAAGAAAAAAAACGAAATAAAAAAAAGAAAGAAAGAAAGAAAGAATTCATGATGAGAAGAAAGAGTATCAATGACAGAAACAAAGAAAGAAAGAAAGAAAGAAAGAAAGACAGAAAAGAAAGAAACAAACAAACAAAAAAGAAAAGAAAGAAAGAAAGAAACAATCAAACAAACAAACAAATTAAGAAAAAAGAAAGAAAGAAAGAATTCATGATGAGAAGAAAGAGTATCAATGACAGAAAGAAAGAAAGAAAGAAAGAAGGAAAGAAAGACAGAAAAGAAAAAACAAAACAAACAAAAAAAAAAAAAAGAAAGAAAGAAAGAAAGAAAGAAACAATCAAACAAACAAACAAATTAAGAAAAAAGAAAGAAAGAAAGAATTCATGATGAGAAGAAAGAGTATCAATGACAGAAAGAAAGAAAGAAAGAAAGAAAGAAGGAAAGAAAGACAGAAAAGAAAGAAACAAACAAACAAAAAAGAAAAGAAAGAAAGAAACAAACAATCAAACAAACAAACAAATTAAGAAAAAAGAAAGAAAGAAAGAATTCATGATGAGAAGAAAGAGTATCAATGACAGAAAGAAAGAAAGAAAGAAAGAAAGAAGGAAAGAAAAGACAGAAAAGAAAAAACAAACAAAAAAAAAAAGAAAAGAAAGAAACAAACAAACAATCAAACAAACAAACAAATTAAGAAAAAAGAAAGAAAGAAAGAATTCATGATGAGAAGAAAGAGTATCAATGACAGAAAGAAAGAAAGAAAGAAGGAAAGAAAGACAGAAAAGAAAGAAACAAACAAACAAAAAAGAAAAGAAAGAAAGAAAGAAACAATCAAACAAACAAACAAATTAAGAAAAAAGAAAGAAAGAAAGAATTCATGATGAGAAGAAAGAGTATCAATGACAGAAAAAGAAAGAAAGAAAGAAAGAAAGAAGGAAAGAAAAGAAAGAAAAGAAAGAAAAAAAAAACAAACAAAAAAAAAGAAAGAAAGAAAGAAACAATCAAACAAACAAACAAATTAAGAAAAAAGAAAGAAAGAAAGAATTCATGATGAGAAGAAAGAGTATCAATGACAGAAAGAAAGAAAGAAAGAAAGAAAGAAGGAAAGAAAGACAGAAAAGAAACAAACAAACAAACAAAAAAGAAAAGAAAGAAACAAACAAACAAACAAACAAACAAATTAAGAAAAAAGAAAGAAAGAAAGAATTCATGATAAGAAGAAAGAGTGTCAGTGACAGAAAGAAAGAAAGAAAGAAAGAGAGAAAGAAAGAAGGAAAGAAACAAAGACACAAAGAAAAAAAAAAAATAAGAAAAAAGAAAGAACGTAAGAAAGAATTCATGATGAGAAGAAAGAGTATCAATGACAGAAAGAAAGAAAGAAAGACAGAAAAGAAAGACAGAAAAGAAAGAAACAAACAAACAAAAAAGAAAAGAAAGAAAGAAACAAACAAACAAACAAATTAAGAAAAAAGAAAGAAAGAAAGAATTCATGATAAGAAGAAAGAGTGTCAGTGACAGAAAGAGAGAAAGAAAGAAAGAAAGAAACAAAGAAGCAAAAAACAAACAAAATAAGAAAAAAGAAAGAACGTAAGAAAGAATTCATGGTAAGAAGAAAGAGTATCTGTGACAGAAAGAAAGAAAGAAAGAAAGAAAGAAAGAGACTATATGAGAAAGAGCATAGAAAAAAATAATATATTTACTGAAAAAAGAAAGAAAGAAAGAAAGAAAGAAAGAAAGAAGGTGACTATATGAGGAAGGGAATAGAAAAAGGTGACATACTTACTGAAGAAAGAAAGAAAAATAAAGAAAGAAAGTAAGAATGTTAAGAAGAGAGAGGATCAGTGACAGAAAGAAACAAATGAACAAAAACTGTCGACTAATAATTGTTCCCCATGAGCAAAGAAAGAAAGAAAGCAAAACATTCTTGACAAAAACCGAAGAAAGAACGAAAAGAAAGAAAGAAAGAAAGAAAGAAAGAAAAGAAAGAAAGAATGAAAGAAAGAAAGAAAGAAAAGAAAGAAAGAAAGAAAGAAAGAACGGAGAAACAAACAAACAAACAAAAATGGTCGAAAAAATAACTGTTTCGATTGGACAACAAAAGAAAGAACGCCAAAAATTGATGACAAAAACCAGGAACCGATGCTAAGCAAAAAAAAAAAAATAATAAAAATAATAATAATAATAAAATACCGAATTAAAAAATGAGGCGAAAATAAGGAAATGAGCAAAAAAATAAACAATAAATATTAGAAATCATTTTGGTGCCAAAATAAAAATCCATAATTTTCAGAATCCCGAATAATTTTTTCACCAAATTCCCGATCTTCCTGGTGTCGTTTCCTTTTTTTCTCTCTCTGTGCATTTATTTTTACAAAAAAAAAAAAAAAAAAAATGGCATCTTTGATTTTGAAAATGATTAAAAGTATTTCTGATCCAAGTTTATTTTGATCAATTTATCGATCTCAAATAGCCAGCAGATCGGAGGAAATTCTGGATTTTTTTTTTTTTTCTATTAACTCTCTTTCGTTTTTTTTCATTCGAAATTTTTCTGTAAATATGAAATAATTTTTATCACTTTCTGTGAAAGAAAGAAAGAAAGAAAGAAAGAAGGAAAGAGAGATTAAAGAAATAGGAATAAAGAAAGTTTGAAATGTGTGTGTGTGTGTGCATGTGTGTGGTTGGGGTCAGGCACCCAGCAAACAAGGAACCCACTACCGAAGTAATGCTGGGTAACACCAAAGCCCAGACATGTCCTCATAATTCCGAGTGCAACAGCAAAATAGTCCAATTGTTAACCTCTAAACCGTTGTATCTTAGAAATGATTAAAGATATCTTACTGGAATTCTCCGACGTTTTTATAACACTATGGGATTCTACTTTGAACAATAAGAATATGTTCAGCTTTAAATTGAAATGATGGTCACCCTCCTTGTTGCGACCTTCTGATCCAGTTTTCCTCTCTACTTTTCCCCTTTTTTTTTTTTTTTTTTTTTTTTTTTTTTTGTAAACTTATTCACCATTTTCTCGGTGGTTCTTGAATGGACTTGGAAGATGGAAGCCAGAGTATGAATGTTGGTACCATTACTGAAGGTCGGAATTATATTTTTTCCTCTCACCATTCTTCGGTTGAGAAGACAGTTGGGGGTGAATATTTTTTTTCATTTCGAATGATAAATTACATAAACACTCTCCGAATGAAAATGGCTAAATGTATAGCCGAAAGCGCTCGGATAAAAAGAACATTCGGACAGTTTTTTATATAATTTATCATCCGAAAAGAAAAATATTATTAGATCGCATGAGAAATTGTATAAAAACCTAAATAAAAGCAGCTTGTCTCTCGTATTCAATGAAATGTGCATGAAAGAAGGATTGCTGCCTAAATACATAATATATATATATATATATATATATATATACATACATATATATATATATAATTATTTATTTAAAAATATGATTCCAACTCGCGACATAAGAGGTCTCATGTTTCAAAACAAGAGCCGAAAAATTCAATATAATTATTTGAATTAAATTGAGTTAAAGTAAGCTCTGTTCCATCATCAAGCGAAATTCCAAAAGAAATTTCAAAAAAATTTCGCTTTTCCCTCAAGATTGATTTGATTATTGGCAAATCAAAAATTCGAGGGTTTTTCGAAACTATATTTGTATTTATATAAGGCTACAAACAAAAATGATCTCATCAGCTTCTACTCAAACCACCCTTCAAAAATTAAATCTGGAATTATTATAGGTTTCTATTTAAGAGCATTAAGAATCTGTAGTCCTCAATACTTATTTAAAGAAGAAACCTACATAGAAAACACATTCAAAAACCTACAATACCCATATCATTTCATCCACAATGCAAGAAGAAAGGCATACAAAATATACAAACGAAACAAAACTAATAACATAATCCGCAATAGTAAATCACATGAAAACAGATACATAATAGTACCGACCAATTCTGCCACGTCCACGATCCAGAATAACCTATCCCATCTAAATAATCTTGAAATAGTCACAAACACCTCCAAAACCATTATAGATATACTAAGATCTTCAAACAATAATAGCACTAATATTTCTGAAGCAGGCATTTATAAAATAAATTGCCAAAACTGTTCCTCCCAATATATTGGAGAAACAAGTAGAAGTTTGAAAAAAACGCATTTATGAGCACAAAAGAGACCTCACAAAAAACAACTTAGCTAATGCAATAGTCATACATAGAAATAAATACAACCATAATTTTGATTTTAAAAATGCTACACTCATAAAAAAAGAAAATAACTCACTCAGAAGGAAAATTCTGGAGAGTGCCGCCATAGAAAATTATCCAAATATTAATTTACGCCCAGGCTTTTTCCCTATTTCACCTTTCTTAACAAAATTAATGCTCTTACAAACAAATATGCACAACAGATTCATAAAATCGAAAGAAAATGGCTGAATACATCAACACAGATATAATGACAATATTCTCCACACGTGACAATCTCTGACATTATTTTTCAGTTAAAAATATGAAAATAGCGTTTCTCTACATTCCAGTTGCTAGGTACATTCTGTTTTTGTTTTTATTAGTTACTTTGTTCATTTAATTTCATTTTCGTATTTTGCTTTGATAAAGTCCACATTGGACGAAACGCGTCAGCAATTACCAGTTTTCCTATTGTCATTTTTATTCATAAATATTGTCTTCTCTACCGATTAAATCGGAGAAATTTTCATATAAATATATATATATATATATGCAGTTATAATATATATATATATATATATATATATATATATGTGTGTGTGTGTGTGTGTGTGTGTGTGTGTGTATAAATGTAAAAGAACGAAGAATAAAATTGCAACGTTGAAAACATTAATTTAAAACAGGGCTCAATACCAATAAATATTATGCTTTTTCTCTTGCCTTTCTTTTCTTTTCTCTTCCTTTTTCTTTCTTTATTTCTTATTTTCTTTCCTTTTTACCTTTTATGGAAAATTTTGCAAATACGGAAAATGAAGTAATGTTTCATTAATTGCAATTTTAAATAAGATAGTTTATTACCATCATTGTCAACCACTTGAAGAAACGTTTTTGTTTTAAACGACGAAACAAAATGTACAGTTTTTTTGTAGTGGGTACTTACATGTTCTAATGTAACAGTGAATAATACATATATATGTTGCTTCTCGGCCTTTTGGCTAATATCAAAAGTATAGTATATATATATATATATATATATATATATATATATATATATATATATATATATTAGTTATACATGCATATGATTTTAACTTGAATAATGGCCTATCGCGTGGGTGACAATCGAAAAGTATCCGAGTCAAAATATATGGTCTATTTTCGAGGCAACTCCTGGTTCTTGTCCAAGGCATATGTTTCATGAGAAAAGATCGGTCCTTGGTTGCCATTTTAATTTTTTTTTTTATGCGCATGCGTATTAACAACAATTTTTTCCCCTTTTTCTTTATGAAAACGGAGTGTATAAACGGACGAAAAATGGCGGTTATAAAATATAAGTTCATTACGCCGCTTGGCAGGATCTATTATTAGGGGAAAACTCGAAATGTTGTTAATGAACCTTGCCAATAAAATAAATATTTTTATAAGCGATGTGTAACGTCCAAGGTTTTCTGATTTAGAATACAATTTGGAAAAGAATTGTAAGTTTTACACACACACACACACATACACACACACACACACACACACACACACACTCAAACCAATACTCACAAAACACACACACACACATACAGATATATATATATATATATATATATATATATATATATATATATATATATGTATATATATATGTATGTATGTATGTATACACTGCGTGCCAAATTATTATCGAGATAACTTTTTTCTAATATTTCAAAAACCGTCCAATAAATTCACACAAAATTTTTACACAATGTTGGCAACACTGATCTGCGTAATTACTGAAATTTTCGTACTGATCTGCGCAATGTAAACAAACTGGCGCCATATTTATTATCAGCACGGTGATTTGAGTGTGCCAAATTATTAGAAAGGTTTAGTAAAATTCCCAGAATTGAGCAAACAAAACGTTTATTAATGTTGCACGTGAATGTTTATGATCAAAAGAAGCTAATAAATAAGATAATCAAACAAATAATAACAGATAAAAACAAAGGCACAGTTTTAAACAAATTAATAGGGAATGTGCTTTCCCTGTTTTGAAATTACTTGAAAAAGTCGACTTTATCAATTGTAGGATGTCATCTGCTGTAATGCCGCGAGATATGTCAGCGTAGCTTCTGTATATATATATATATATATATATATATATATATATATATATATATATTCTGTGTGTGTATATATATATATATATATATTTAAAATGTGTGTATTTAGGCAGCATTTTTTCATTGATACATGTTTCATTAAATAATATAGACAAGTGTTGTATATTTATTTTATGTAAATTCTTTTCATAACGTCTGATAAGATTAATAACATTAACATTAAACGAAGAAAGAAAATCACAATATTGATACATATTTTTTAATCCTATATAAGCTTTCGACTTACACAAGCTATTATCAAAGATGACAATTACAATACAATATATTAAGCAATACACGGACAAGACAGTGATGATAGTCTGTTTCTGTTTACATGGATGATTTCCATGCAACGATAAACACATGCATATAAGACGCTGGAAGCGAAAATCGCACCGCAGCTCATGACGTCACACATGACCACGCGAGAGTGAATTCGAGAAGTATTAAGTATGGGAAGCCGTTGGTAACAGAAGCCATTGGTTTATGCCAAACTCCGACAATTGTATCTATAAAAAGAATGTATAAACATAAAAATGTCTTAAAATAATTGTCGGACTTTGTCCATTTCATAATGTGTGACGTTATTTGTTTACATTTGGATACGCTTTGAGCAGACATGAATGTACGTGAGAGATTCATGAAAGGCAGTAAATTCGACCTTGCTAATCGAACGATTCTCTCTGGCTCGATCGGTTAAGAGCGCGTCATGCTAAATGACGGTTCCGTATATATATATATATATATATATATATATATATATATACACACACACAGAGAGAGAAAGAGTGCATTTTCTGTT